TCTTTAATTGTAAGGTTAATTATTTGTTGAAAGATACAACAGCGCTCTTTTCTTGATATATTTTTGGGAATACTAGAAACTTTAAAGTAGTGTAATTAACTTATTGATGTGTCACAAACTGTTGTTAAGGGGGTGACAATGGTAAAAAAAAAGAAGGACAACTTTAAAGTACTAGAACTAATGTAGCAATGTGTCCCAAACTGTTGTTAAGGGGCAACAATGGTAAAGGACAACTTTGAAGCACTAGAATGAACTTCACAAACTTGTTACAGAGTAACAATGGTAGAAGACAGCTTTGAACTACTGGAACTAATGTATCAATGTGTCACATACTATTGTTAAGAGGCAGAGGACAATGTTTCAAAACATTAAGACAGTTATTGGTACAAATTTAAGGTGTATGATACCGCATGCATCCAAATAAAACATTTTTAACATAATCTAATGAAAGGCGTAATTAGTTTAAATTATTTGTATTCCATTAACAGATTATCTTTCTGTCATTATTTCTTTAATATTTATGTAGCTTTTATGTTCATTAAGTTTTAGGCTTAATCTTTTTTTTTTTTCATGTCATCTCAGGATTGTTCCTCTGACAGTAAACGAAGTTTTACTTGTTTGTCTGGATTACAAGGTGGATATAAAACCGAAAACTTTCTTGTCTATCGATGTCACTCTTCTGTATTTCCACTCCATGACTTGCATTCTTTTCTTTGTATCTTTCGAGACAACAGTCCATTTTTGGGACAATATTTCTTAAACCATAAAGAAACTGCAAGTTTTCAAGACATCCAGAAACTTCTACTCGGGACAAAGTTAAAAAGAGAAAACTTGGAATATGATTCGCCACCTGTACCTTTCTCATTCACTCAGAGCCAAACAAAAATTGTTGGGTATTTGTATGGTCAGAACATCCAAATGGAAATCAGTAGTGATCAGTTTGTTAAAAGTGGACTTTTTTCCATCCCTCAAAACCTTTATGGTGATGAATGCCACTGGAACGGTCCAGCACAGTTCTTGATAGACCAAGAGACTTTTTGTAACATCCGTGTTCGAGAACTTTGTACGTCCAGAGGAACGTCCAGTTCCGTGTTGAGTGTTAAGTTATTTGATAATAAGGATGTAAAGGTACTTAGACACCCTGGAAGTAAAGTCAAGCTAGATCCAGAAATCAATGTGCTGTGCACGAATAATACTTCATATTATGTCAAAGATAAATCAACAAGCAGCTTTCCATTGCCCGATCTTCATGATGAAGAATACTTAAAAATTAATGCCATCAAACCCTGCTGGAATAGTTCGGTTTTTGTTCTTCCCAGTTATTCAGATCGTATTTGTAAAAATATCGTTTTCGATGTTCGATACCACTTCTTTTGGGAAGCGGGAGAGCTGGTTCATCAACGAATTACCATTTTACTTGGACAGGTTGTGGTTGAACCTGATGAAGTGGGCTTTTCATCATTTCATCTCACGCAACATTTTCAATTAAAGTTTTATAACTCGAAACTGTTAAATACAACAAGTGGATTAGAGCAAACGAAACGATCTGGAATTTTTGGGTATGAATTTGGATTGCCCCTTATTTCTTTAAGTATATATCAGAATGAATCAGCAGACAGCAATGAAACTAGCTACCTTGATTCTAACATGACCGTTGGTCATCAGTTCCTAGTGTGGAAACCAGGTAAGACCATTTTTATTTGTTAACTTAGAAAAACAAAGCAGTTAAAGTATAGTGATTTTTGGTTATTTGTTCTTTGCATGTTTTCCACCTTGACACAAAAATATGAATATATATACATGTATCTTGTATCAACTTTATTAATTATTAATGACAATCCCAGATAGAATTCCCCAATATTACTTTGATAGAGATTAAAAAAAGGAATGAAGCATTTACTTCTACAAGTCTTCACTTTCACGAAAGGGTAAATATACCGTTGAGATATCTTCATGTACAGTTTTTCTAACATATGTTACTGTCCTGTTTTGAAGCAATCATCAAGGATTTTGATCTGATTTTGTCTTTAAATAAACGACTTTTTCATGTTCTTTTACTAAACATGTTTTTCTGTAGATTAAAGTTTTGATAAGTAGAATATAATATTTTGTACTAGAAATAACCTTATAACACCAAACTGTTGATTTTCTTTAACTGGACACTGAATGTTTTACTTTACAGCTTCTTCAGGAGTGTTCCACTAAAACGCAAACAGTAATTGATAGTACAAAGCTTTTTTTTTAAGTATTGTACTGTCAGTCACAGTTTGTGTTTTAGTGGAAGAAGCTGTAAAGCAAAAAGTTGAGTGTCCAGTTAAAAAAAAACAATAATTTGGTGTTAAAAGGTCGTTTATTTCTAGTATTAAGATTTATTCTATACACCAAGATTAAATAACATTTAATGTTTTACTTTGAAGTATATATGTTTTTTTACATTTTAAGGATTTGTAAAATACAAGATATTCTTTTAAGGGATCAAACTTGACCACTAGTAGTTCACTGATCAATGATTGTTTTTAAAATAATATATTTATCAGAAACAAGTTAAACGTATGTACAAAATTCTTTACACTATGGTGATCAAAATTATATCTTAAACACTATACGGTTGTCTTCTTGTCAAAAGTCCACTTAGGCAAATTCAATTGCTTTAGAATTCAGTTGGCAAGCTTATCTATTTTCTCTCTATTTTTATCGCAATAGCATTCGTGTATAGTTCTCTTACGTTGTCATTGAGTTACCGCAGTTGTATCCTGTACTTCCAATAATCATCTGCTTTTGTATTTCCAATAGTTGTCTGCTTTTTGTCAAAGTCTACTGAGGTGGGTTAGTTACTTTAGGACACCCTTCGATGAGACAACTTATTTTATTTCAATATTATTGATCTCACTCTAATATATTAACATTTAGGCCTTTCACTACCATGACGGCTAACTTTACGTTTAATTTTTCTCTGACCAATCTTCTCTTTGGAGTGACTTTACTTTTTATGTGTTTTTGCTCCTCTGGTCGCCGTTATTTATACGACTATCACTTAGGCCTTCTTGAAATTTCCATAGCTTCGACATATGAATTACAAACACAAACTAAATAAAGTAATAATACTACCTACACGAACAGTCTTTTATATCTGATGGTCATAGAATATTAGGCCTATTGTAGTTTTAAACAATGCATTATTTATTTGGTCCCCTAGGGTTTTTACAAGAAGATTGTATAATATAATTTCTACCATAATCTGTCTAACAAATTCTTTGTAGATGACCCATTTTGCTCAATTCCAGAGCTCTCGAGCAAGATAGGATAAAACAAACAAACTAGTGGTTGGAATGCTATTTATATAAACCAATTGTTAGAATGAAAACAAACAAACATGCGAGCTGAATAAAAATGTACCGTTTAAGCGTACAATAAGCCTAATATTGTTGTCTTATGACAAAGATAATTAGCTGATATTATGCTTATACAATTTGATATAAAGAAAGGCATACACGCTACAACAAGTATTAACATGACGGTCATTCCCACTGTTGACTAGGCAGGAATTTAGGTTTGATATCTTTCAAGCCTCAAAGAAAGTTTGGGCCTGAAAGACAACCCTTCGGCTCCGAAAACTGAAAGACGGTCTTCTCAAGAACTCGTACAATGTGCTTCATCAAAATTAAGCCCAGAGGCTACTCCACAGTTTCATCGCACGGGATGAAGAGGTGTTAACTACCTTTCCTATATCTTTAAAGTTAGGAACGGCTAGAGCCCTCTAGTGGCGTTATGCGAAATTTAACAAAGAAACAAGCAAGAAGACCTAAAACAGATGTAGTATCAACTGCTTGGAGAAAAATTAGGGAATCGGATAGTGTATGAAGGAACAGACTTGTAAGTAAGGTTTCAATAACAGTATTTTGTCCTGGTGGTTAAAGCACTCGACTCGCAATGTGCGAATAGCGAAATCGAAACTCTGTTACCGAACATGCTCACCTTTTTATCTGTGGCGTTATAATGTGACGGTCAATCCTCTAGTCTGTCACTTCTAAGTTTGGTACGGCTAGCCCAGATAGCTCTCGAGTAATTTTGCGTGAAATTCGAGGAATAAATTAACAGTATTAGTTAAAATATATTCAATTTAATTTCCCCGAAAGGTGGCCGAGGGTAGCCTAACGGGGTCACCTGTTTTAACCACTCGCACCATTATACATTAGTGTATTGTCCGTCAGTCAGTGGAGACTAAAATGATGTCACATAAGGGACGCTTAATGTTGCACTTTGTACTATCGTGACGTTCAGTAAAACGTGCGCATGCCATGAATCACGAGAAGGATTATAGATTACAACACAGATTACAAATGAATTTCAAAAGCAAGAAATAGAAATATTTGTTACTTTTAAATTTGGTTTTATTTACTCTGGAAACAGAACACTTTCAGGGACCCTGCGAAAGCACATCTAGTTAAACATATCTATTACGAGATATTTTTTTTCATTCTTAGCTGGGTTAAGATTAGTCTTAACTTTCCTAGGCTATCCAAAAATATCGATAACAGATGGAGTTGATGAATCAGTGTATCCTAATTATTTTAAGATTTGTTAAGATAGAATATTAAATTAAAAACATTTATTTTCTGGATTAATTTTTAGTGCTGAAATATCTAGATAGCATGCTTAGTCAAAAGTTATTGACATTTAGGAAAATATTGTATTAGTTATTTTATTTGTCACTAGATGGCAATAATGTTGCATTAATCGTAAAGACAGCTGATTAAAGTATGTATATAGTATAGTGCGGAATAATAAAATAAATGCTTTGTTTAATATAACGACACCCATCCTGAATTATTATCTTGAAATAAGAAATGTTTTAGAAAATATGATGTTATTAATAGCTGTGTTTTTATTTAGTTCGTAAAATCTTTCTTATTAAAAAGCCCCCCAGCGGCAAGTCTTAAGACTTCTTAACACTAAAAAACCGAGTTTTGATACTTATGGCGGATTCAGCACAGATATCTCACTGTGTTGCTTTGCGCTTAACAAACAAACCTTATTAATAAATCATTAGAAATGTATGCGAGAGAGAAATCTGCCTGCTTCATATAATGTGGTATAGAGGGAAAAACTAAAACCGAAATCAGGTGACCGACCTAACGAAACTGTACAGTGTTTAAAAAATACCAAAAGAAACACGAAGTTTCTTGAATCGTTTATTTTCATTGCTGCATGAAAGAAAAATTCATTCATAAAGTTTTCATGAGACAATTTTGGAATAGTAACTATTGCTACTAGAGGGCGTTCTTAGTATAGGCGTAGAGTCTGGAAAGTTTGTAATTGAGAGTAAAGCTATACAAATAGGCATGATGAACCAAGCCCTAAGTACCTCTCCCCGTTAAATATTAAGAATCTTACAGTCCAAACAGTGCTAGACTAACTGAATCCTAGACACAAACGTAGCTCTATTTTAAAAGGTTTGTATGTAAAAATAGGATTATATGTCTGTGTGTATATGACTGCTAAGTGGAATTGTATTGTGAACACGGACTAATAGTGCTAACATACATAAGTGAAGTTAGTGAAAATATACAAGTTAATATTACTTCATGAATTGTACGAAAACGGTATGTTAATTAAAATTGCGGACATTGGACAAAACTTAACGTACTGTGAGTAATGCAACAACAACTTAAAAAGGGTTATTACCTGGGATTCAGTAACAGTGCAAACAAAATAACAATTCCTGAGAGGGAGGGAGAGGTAAACACTGAACCCGACCCTCCCTGGACCAAATCTCAATGAAGATGTGTTTATACTTATGGGCGATGTTTGCTGTGCTCACCAAAGGCATCAAAGCTCAATTTTGAACGTTATAAGCCCTCAGACTTGCCGCTGAGTCACCGAGAGCTATTTTTCTAAATATTTATGTTTAACAACACGTTATGCAGGCAATATTTCGTGTCGAACGAAGAATCAAAGTACCTGGTTTGTCTTATTTATTATTGTGTCACGGACTTGGAAATAATGCTGCTTTTAATTTTCGCTAGGTGGTACTCTCAAGAACAAAATTAGGCTTATTAAAACAAGTTTGTTAGGGTATTATTTTGACCGTTCTAAGGTGATCAAGGTTTTCTTTATTTGATTTGGACCGGAATAACGTTGCGTGTATCTTATATTTATATGACTGTTAGAAATGGGTTATTGTGATTTTTGACATGTAAGAATATGAGGGTTCGGGTTTCGAGTCGGGCCCGTGGGTATTTTATAAGAGTGAAACGCCATCTAGAGGAAATGTTGGAAACTATCTGTATACGTCATGCACCATGTGATCAGTATATGTAATTAATACTGTTGTTTTATCAGAGTTATTGAGATTTTACATGTGTACGTAAAATTACTGTTGTCATCTTTATAAATTAGATATCACTGGAGAGTTTTTTACCTCCGTCCGCCTTTGGTGGACGGAGGTTACGTTTCCACCCCTATGTGTGTGTGTGTGTTAGTCAGCAAGATTTCTCGAAAACGGCTGAATGAATTTGGAAGAAAGTTGGTATACATTTGGACTAAGACCTACCTTAGAAGTGTTTAGTTTTTTGGGGGGGGTCAAGGTCAAAGGTTGATGTCACGACAAATCCAAAACCCCATATCTGTTAACATGGGGGACCGATTTTTCACACTGTTTTTGCTCTATAACTCGGTCAATAATGATCAGATTTTAATGAAACATAATGGACATATGTAGAACATTATTCCTCATTGTCCTGCCAAAAAAAAAAGTGGTCTATGTCCATTGATAACACACATTTTCCTATTTTTTTGAGAATATGACCAATGTTGCATGGTAGAGCTATGCGCTGTGCTGAGTGCCCTCTATAATTAGTTTATGTCTTTAGCGCAAAGATGATGAAATATCCGTGTTGCGTCAGCCTCCGAGATCGAACTTCGAGTTCTAGGGTTAAGTCCTGAAGCTTACCTCTGGCCCACCGGTGGACTAGGGTTTTGATAGATACAAATAAAAGTATTTTTTAGTCACTAATTTAATGAATTACGTTGCAATTTGGCGGAGTTTTTACAAGAATTTCAGTAACCTACGATGTTTGACTTATCTCAACACAGCGTTATCTAACGTAAAGGACGAAAGACAGGAGGCAGCTGAAATGTATGGACTATTCAGGAACGACTTATTGAGGACCGGTTGTACCTGAAAATTAATTCTAATCATGCTTATTAATCGTATCTTAAATTGTTTGCCAAATAAAAGAAAGGAAGATTGGGAGACAGATCACTTACCCCCCCCCCCTTCCCTTACTAAATTTATACGGTTGATGACGTCGTAATTAGAATAACGACTCAGTGTATTACTAAGTAGAAGTTTAGTTGTAATAAAAGTGACTGAATTTCGTTAAAATAATATTTACTATTGGTTTTTTTTGTTCTACATCTTGAATTTTGTCTGGGGGTGGGGTGGGGTGGCATGGCCAGGTGGTTAGGGCGCTCGACTCGCAATCTGAGGGTCGCGGGATCGAATCCCCGTCCCACCAAACATGCTCGCCCTTTCAGCCGTGGGGGCGTTATAATGTAACGGTCAATCCCACTATTTGTTGGTAAAAAGAGTAACCCAAGAGTTGGCGGTGGGTGGTGATGACTAGCTGCCTTCCCTCTAGTCTTACACTGCTAAATTAGGGACGGCTAGCGCAGATAGTCCTCGTGTAGCTTTGCGCGAAATTCAAAAACAAACAAGAAAACAAACAATTTTGTCTGGCCGTTTCTTTTAATGCCGTTTAATATAGATTGTCCGAAAATTCTGGAACCATAAGACACTTCAATAAGTTTGGATTAAGAGTAGAATTAACTGGATCTTTTCACGCTTTGACAGTGCTATATAGTACCCCGGTGGGACGGTGATAACTTATAACACCCAAATCCGGGGTTCGATTCCACACGGTGGACACAGCAGATAGCCCAGTGTGGCTTTGCTCCAAAACAAAACAAAAACGAAGAAACAGCGGAATGATGAGTCACGTGTCTGAAATTAAGAAAAGTTTCAAATCACCTATGGTTCCAAACTTTTCGGACTCCCTGTGTGGTTTGGACTGCGAGAAAAATAAAAGAACGGAGAGTTGTTGACATTAAAACGAGCACCCTAGAGTGCGCTGTTCTTTATATTTTCAAAAATATACAATAAATAACTCTCTGTGGAAATCCGTGTGTAATACGATTGGACTTGAGTAATCCTCACACCCGCTGCTTAATGCAGTGGAACAAAGGCTTACAAGTTATTACAAGTCTTGTTTAGGAGGTTCTTCGACAAAGGATGACTGTTAAAAGCCTCATTTTAGTCCTATATCTCTCTTTATCAATACATTATGATCTAAGATAACTCCTCATTTCCCGCAGTTATCTAGAAAATATAATTGTACGAAATGACCATTAGAGCCATTTAATTAGTTGAGACTTGTTCTCTAGGCCCCAAAGGAATTAACCCAACGTCCAAGCCACGCCATCTATATTCAAGGCTGCTAATGCAATTTTCCTCATAAAATGGGTGGTTAATATGTGTGACATTCTACGCAGCGATGAGGAAAATCAGAATCCCCAACGAACCGGAGCTTCCTGGATTAAACAGCTCCGACACAACCGATTATACGCTCAATAACCCTTTTAGTTTCTAAATGTGGAACAACACACATTCCCCCTAGCGACCACTTATCGCCAGTTAGATAGCGCGTTCCGTTTAATCTAGACAGGCCGGTTAATTTGCGTTGATTACATTAGTGCTGTTCCCACGAGCGAGGGTGCACCCCCCCCCCCTTCAGAGACGGTACAATTTTTCCACATCCGACTTAACCAATAATGTTCATTCCCAGTGGAAAAAATTATAATTTGCTTGTGACATATGTAAATGAACATTCGTTGTAATTTCATGAGTTTTTTTTAATGTTTTTACAAGTGAATTTCAATTACATTAAATTCACGCAGTCAGTAAAAGAATTGACTTCTCACTCATTTGAACTTTTGAAATGGTATGCATAAAAACATTTTTTTTTAGCAAATTCAAGAATTTTACGGTACAATTATGACCGTTAAGTTATCGTGACTTCTAAGCCACATTATATATGCATGCTTATAAATGTTTAATAGTGAATTCAGAATGATTGAAGTTCACACACACAGGCGTCGCTGTGTGCTAGCCACGGAGGAAAAACTCGAAAATAAGCTAAATACTACAAAACGTTTTATTGCGAACTGAATTTTCATCGAGATACATACAATCAAATTTTTGTCGAAGTTAGAATGTGCTATATATTATCTTTTAAAGTTTTTTTTCAATTCTACCCGACGTTTCGGTTTACGCCTATGAAGGTCACACAACCCTTGAAAAAGGCGTACACCGAAACGTCGTGTAAAATAATAATAAAAAAACATTTATTTGATGTTGTCTTTTTTTTTTCAATCCTACCCGACGTTTCGGTTTACGCCTATGAACGTTACGTCGACCTTTGAAAAAGGCGTACACCGAAACGTCGTGTAAAATAATAATAAAAAAAACATTTATTTGAAATTGTTGTCGTTTTTTTTCAATTCTACCCGACGTTTCGGTTTACGCCTGTGAAGATCACACCGACCCTTGAAAAAGGCGTAAATCGAAACGTCGGGTGGAATATTGAAAGCGTGTTTCATATCTTAAAAATCAAGCCTCTCCAATCTAAAAGTTTACCGATTTTTTAAACTAATTAATTCCTTGTTCTCAGCCCCAAACCCTTCTTATAACAGGCGTCGCCCCTGATGTCAGATGGAACAGCTATAGTCAGCTTCCAACCAGACCGTTTTACTAAATCACGAAGTGGAAGCTATTGAACATAAGCTCGATATCACAGGTTTAATACGTTGTGTTAAAATAACCTCGAGCCTCGCCACGTCGTTACAGTGCATGTCACCATGTCCTGCCGTGCTCTATCAGACGACCGTATCTTTACAACAGCCCTGTAGTGGAGTTTCCATTGCAAATGTCTTCATCATTAGGGTGTAATGTTCAAAGCACACCATCACTTCCTGCTGCTCACCAAAATGCATCTGGTATACGAGGATGACTGTTTCTCAGCACCCGTTTCAATGGTGTGAGTGCATAGAAGACCAATGGCGCTGCATCCGGTGACTTGACCGGTATATCTTTGTATGAAATACCCATTTCATTCTCCAGCTACTTAAGGTATGCGATGGTTAAAATGAGTTTTGGAAGCGACTTGTACACATGACTTTTTTTTTTTTCACTTTCCAGAAGTAGATCCTTCTTGATAATGTTTTGTATGTTATTGCCTATGACACATGGACAGCTTTGCCACTGACCTTTGTTTTCGTGAATTCTCAACTGTTACATGACGCCGCATTTGCAGGGCCTGTTTCTGTGGTTCTGGTATCTCAAGCTGATCCATATTCTTTTATTTTCCAATTTGATTACATATAAGAAAATTCTAAACCTCTGATCTCAGCATACCTTTATGATCTGAGTGTATGAATATTTTCCATCGGAAAAAACTGTTACATACCCTGTGGCATCACAGTACTTACTAAACACTAAGTAATGTTGAAATATAGTTCTGATACATGTGTTCGACAACAGCGTGAAATCAGCTGTGGCTGTCACACGAATTGTTGATAGTGTATTCAAAATTGTTTTAATATAACGTTCTTATCTTTCTGTATAAAGTTGTCCATATATCTGTCGTCGTAACTTCACGAATAGTTGTAGGGAACTGGCAGAATTTATGTCATAAATTAGGCAGAGAAACTCAGATTGACCCCATTGACATCAAATTTTAATTGTTAAGCAATAGGACAAACTGTTTATGTTTATCAGTTGTTTCAATTTTTACTGAATGAAGCCGATGAAAGAAACAAGAAATCACTGATTTCTTATGGGAAGAATATGAGACACAACGACATAATATACATCATTGAAGTAGAACACCTGTAATGATGTCAGTTAGAGCACCTGTCTTGTAACATTGTCGGTTAGAGCACCTGTCTTGTAACGTTGTCGGTTAGAGCACCTGTCTTGTAACGTTGTCGGTTAGAGCACCTGTCTTGTAACGTTGTCGGTTAGAGCACCTGTCTTGTAACATTGTCGGTTAGAGCACCTGTCTTGTAACATTGTCGGTTAGAGCACCAGTCTTGTAACATTGTCAATTAGAGCACCTGTCTAGTAACATTGTCGGTTAGAGCACCTGTCTTGTAACATTGTCGGTTAGAGCACCTGTCTTATAACATTGTCGGTTAGAGCACCTGTTTTGTAACATTGTCGGTTAGAGCACCTATCTTGTAACATTGTCGGTTAGAGC